AAATAATGGTTGAGCTGCGCCACTCAATAAACATGCTACACAACCAATCAAGATGGTAATCCATTCAGGACTATTCATTGATAAGAGTCTTAATAAGACAAACCTCTGTTTGAATGGTTTTGGGCTTTGCTAAAAAAGAAGACTTATCAATAATAGTTTTTATAGCTAATTACAGTAGGATTTGTACTTTGTTCACATCAACAGTTGTTACGTCGCTAAACAAACGAGAGCGCTCAGCTATTCAAGAAAAAAAGATCAAGAAAAATAATGACTATTACTATTAGAATTTTTAGCATACTTATAGATTTTTCCTCTTCTTCTGTTGCTTTTTGTATGCTCATCATATCATCTGTATCATCATAGATTCTTTTCATTTGTTGACATTTGACCATTGCTTGATATTTGCCTCCTTCTTTTATCATTAATGTTTCATGTGTACCTTGCTCAACCACATTTCCATTATCTAGTACATATATTTGATGAGCATTTCGAATTGTAGTTAAACGATGAGCAATAATAATAGTTGTACGACCTGTACAACATGATATATCAATACGAAAAACAGAAAAAAAAACAATTATTACCTTTGCATGCTCGATCGAGTGCTTCTTGAACAATTTTTTCTCTAACATTATCAAGTGCACTTGTTGTTTCATCCAGTAAGAGGATAGTAGGCTGTTTGACAAGAGCACGTGCTAATGCGATACATTGTTTTTCACCACCACTCAAGTGTATACCACGTTCACCAACAAGTGTTTCATATTTCTAAATAAGAGATGATGATACAGATGTATATATAAAGACAAATATTTGACACAAACATTTGGTAATTGCATAATGAAATTGTGTGCATTTGCTTCTCGTGCTGCTTGTTCAATTTCTGCTCGTGTTGCATTTACTTTACCAAAACGAATATTTTCATAAACACTCATACCAAACAGAATCTATTACAATAGAGAATGAAACTAAGAAATTACAAAACGAAAAAACAAAAACAAAGCATACAGGTTCTT